GGTGGTTTTTAGTCAGTAAGAGTCTGACACTGAAGGCGGGAGAAGTCGTTTGATGATTTCCCCCCCTTAAAAAAAAGAGGCAACCCAATAAATTGATATGCAACGTCTCAGCGTTTAAATATCCATGATCTATTATTTTCATGAAAGACGTAAAAGTTAAATAAAGGGGACCACATCTTTTAAATATTGGAAACTGTCTTCTGCTAGCAGCTTTGCCAGCGTTCTCATAGTATAAAAAATAACCTATGTTTTGTGCCTGTATCATAGCGCTGTGGACTCGAGCCTTCGTGTCTGGGCTACGACACAAAGCTGAACTCCGACCTTTTGCGCCGCGACCCGCCATGGACTTCTTTTTGTGTGTACCTGTGCTGTTGTCTACGTGTGTGTCGTGGCTGACGTAATAAATGGATTTTTTCTTTTTCTATGTTTTATTTCAGAATATAATCTGTCCCTGTTCCTCATTTCAATCCCTTCAGTCGTTTTGACGTAAAGAAGTTACAAACAAACAGTAATACAAAATTTCACATATATACCGTTACTGCCTCATTGGTCGAGTGGTCGCAAGTGCGACTGCCGGGCATGGGGTCTCTGGTTCGATTAACGGGACGGGCAAAGTATTATAGGCTTTTTAAAAAAATCTCAGTAGTAGCACGGAGTCTGGAAATGTGTATATGGCAATAGGCTCACCCTCTATTATACATGGGACTCATAACATAAATAGTGAAAAGTGGGTGTTACTTCTATGTGCACCTCTGCCTACCCCTTCGGGGATAAAAGGCGTGATGTTATGTAGTGCTTTCTGATAATACTGAACCTTTTAACTGCAATCAACGTTGAAACATAGAGCATTTTTTATGTTACCCTAGGACAGCCATTTTCCTGTTAGTCTGGGTGCGTGCATGTGTTTGTCACGCATACATTTCACATGCACATCACATACAGACTGTGAACAATACTATATTGCACATATACAGATTCCAATCTCTCTATTGCACATAACAATCTGTAACCAATTGTAATTACCTAATGTAAATCGAATACCTACTTTCCTAAGTCAAATAAAAAA